GGTCCGGACACTCACGCTGCCCCGGTCTCGTTGTCCACAGAGCAGCACGCGGTAGAGGAGCTGCTGCAGTTCGCGGTGCAGGGCGCCGACATCGATGGACAGGTGCTCACTTACCTGGAGACGGCTCAGGTGAGCAGCAGCACGCACCCACAAGGCTTAGACTGTAGGGACGCATTAGCCCCGTCGTGCCTGTACGGTGGGGGATCCGAGCACCGTCGTATTGAGGTGTCTGCCGGGGCAAAGCAGTGCTTTGGGAAGACCGGAGAACTCCCTCCTGTTTCCGTCCTTGGATCAGTGTCAGGGAGGCTGGGGCCGGGTGGCTCATTGCAGCTCGTAACAAAGCACAGCTGCTGGCTCGCGCCTCCCTGGAGCAGCAGCTTGTTGTCAGCTGTCAGAAAGGCACCCGAGAGCCCAAGACTCATTGTGTTTCCGATCTTCTGCTTTCACTTCGGCGGGGGGGCTTGTGGGCTCTGAGGGAGAGCGCGCCGATGGTATTGTGATGCAGCTTCTTCCGTTTCCCTTTCCGGTGCTCTGCAGTTTCACAATGCCAAGCAGCTGGCGGCCTGGTGCCTGCATCACATCTGTACGAACTACAACAGCGTGTGCCGCAAGTTCCCCAAGGACATGAAGGCCATGTCCCCAGGTAACCTCCGACCCCTCCCGCTGCCGTTTCGATGAGATGTGTCTTTCAGTGTACGGGGGAAGGGTTTAACATGTGTACTGAACTGTTTTTCTGTTGCTGATGCCCAAAATAAGCGCACTGTGTCAACAGAAGTATAGCTCGAAATGCAATAGAATCCCAGGAGGAAAAACTGCTTATTTATGGGACTCTGGTATTTTGCTCATTTTTCCAATGAGAATTGACTTGCGCCAGCTCTTTAAAGTCACGCCTGGCTCATTTTCCCTGGCCGTGTTTGAGGTGCTTCTGTGCCACGGGGCCGGTCTCAACGGATCCGAGTAACTCTGTTTATCCCCGTCTCTCCCCCTCGCTCTCCCCCCCC